AAGAGAGAAACTTGAATCAAATTGATTTCCCCTAAAGCATGAACTCTGTCTTTATATCTCTATGCTTCAGATACTAAATCTGCGTCCTTAGAATCTGGGTTGCGAAGTGCCTGTGTTCTATTACATTAGGTATATATACAAAGGTACTTAAAGCCTGTCTTTTTTCCACCGTTGATATGCATAGGTTGCTATGAAAGTAATACCTCCTATTTATTTCCATGGAAACCACAACAGATACAAAGAGCACAATAACTCTATTTAGACGGAAAAAATTCTCAGTTCCAAAACACTGTTTTTCAGCACAGCCACCACCATTAGCTATGCAAAAAATCCGCATGGCCATCCAGAACACAGTTTGCCTTTCACGTTGCTGTCACCACTGCTGAAGCGCACCACCCACCACCTCACTGCACTCACACCCGCTGTTTGGTCTCCATAAAGATTCAGCAAGTGTTAACGAATGTCAATTGTTGCAATTTTTTGTACGTGGAGGACTTTAATTACAGCCCTTTGTTTCACACTCACTTTCATGACAGATGCCATTGTGTCAGACCGCCCCTCTGCTGCCACCTGTCGTACAGCAACGAAGTGTAATGAGAGGAAAGGTTCAGCCTCTACTGACAGTCGCCTCTGATGAAACGGCCAACATAGTACAATAAAAGGCATTACTTTTGGAGCAGCCTTCAGATTAGGGATGAATGAAACCTACTTCTAACAATTATTACTTCTGCAATTGACTGACTACTCACATAGAGATCTTGTACTGACCACAATTAAGAAGTCCAACAGAAGGTTCACTTGGGTAGTAAGAGATGATATATAAGTTGATGGCTGGCATTTAGTTCTAAAGTGAAAGTTTTTCCTCACCTAGAAGTGCCAGTTACATAAAGGGCATCATATGATTTGAAAGCATTTAAACTTTTTTTGTTATGGAGACTACTGCTAAAATACTGTTTGCTTATGTCAGGTGTGTGCATGAGAGTGTAAATAAAATACCTGTCTACTCACATTCTACTGCAGTCTCTTTTTATCCTAGTCTGTAAGGAATTCTTAGTTTGGGGAAAATATGCCAACTCCAAGCCTAGTAACAACAGTACTCCGAAAGAAAGGCTGTTATTTGGGTTGGTTCAAGCAGCATTTAGAAACATCACCTTCAGACATTCTCCCATTTAGACAAATTTATTAGCTGAACTGTTTCATTTCAACCTCACAAAGGACCACAAGGAAATCAAACTGTTGTTCTTTCAAGTGCATTCAGGGTTACCGGGTTTTCCAGATTGTTTTCCTAAGGAAACAAGCTTCATGCAAACCTATCTGCCTGACCCCTGTGGTCATAAATTTGGTTAAACGAACATGCTGGTTCAAAGGCTAGCTGTGGCTTAGAAATCTGAAAGATAATTAAACTCCTCCAAATTCACAGAACTAATCTAAATGAAGAAATTTAAACTAGCAGACCCTCAGAGAAAAAGGCAACTAATTCTCAGCTGCTACCCAGTCTGTCCAGCACCAACCAGCTGGCCAACTGGACTGTTCTGCCAGGCAGCAGGGCTCCTGCCCTAGATTAACTGCAACACAGACTGTTTTCTTTGCTTGGCAGAGGGATGGAAGTTGCTGTAACAGAAGGCGGAAGAGGAGTTCAGAAAGAGAAATGGATTTACATCAGTGACAGCGTTCAACTAAATTAACTAAACTCACACTGATCATTATATACAAACTTTTTCCCCTGTCTATGGACACATGCACCCTTCCATTTGACATGATTACACCATCTGTCTTTAGCGTACACATAAGATAAAAACAGAAGCAATTCAAGTTTTCAGTGTCAAACCAACCAGATGTTCTATGGTAACGACTCTTGATCAACCATTCCTTCCTCCCTGCCTCCCCATTATTTTAGAAAGCATCAACATTTTTTAGAATCATTATTTACATTCGCCAGGAAGCACAAACAGCTATACTTACTCTCCTAATGTTTTGTCAACATTAGCAAGAACTCATACCACTCTACATTTACAGCAACAGAATGGGAAGCCATTACTTGATGCTTTCTTCAAGAAAGGAATGGGCTCAGTATAGAATGGGTGGACTAACATGACGCATATCTGAACTCATATACACGCTTTCTTTCTTCAGCCAGAGGCAATTACAGGAGAAATCAACCAATGACTACTATAGTGCAATTGCTGAGACACACAAAAATCATACTCTTTTTCTGGCCAGAAAACAAACAAACAAAAAAACCCAAACAAACCAAAACAAAAACAACAACAGATGTGTAATAACTCAGGCTCCCAACTGTTTTACAAGAAAAAATGTAAATGTTTGGTAGGTGACAGACACAGGTTTGATGGAACGAGGCATTACTTTTCCTGGTTTGAAAGGTATACACTGGATGCACCACGGAGTGCTTAAATAGGGTTTATACAGGGCCATAATTAATGGCTAGAATAACTTGCATGGGCCATACTTAATGACTGGTCTACAAAAGAAAAATCCATCTGTTTAACTAATTTTCTGACACTGCAATTCACCATCACTCTTTGTTTCTTCCTTATGAAGTCTCAATTGTCTTCTATATGCATTTCCTGTCTCTGTAATCATCAGCCTTCTGCCTACCCAGCAACAGTACTGAGGCAAACAGATGTATTTAAACATCTTCCCAGAAATAATGGCAACAGACCAAGCAACTGCCTGTTACCTCCATATTATTTTTATCATCAGCACCATGCCCAGGGCCTTCAGCCACAACTGAGGAACCACCATTGCAATTACACAAGCTGCTCAATAAGCACACAGGATAATGGGATCCTTTACAACAAGTGTGTAAGTAAATAGATACCCAATAAAATAATGTTCAGGTTCTAGTATCTCGTTTCCACTTTTCAGTAAGGAAAAATAATAATAATAAGAAAACCCTTCTCCTTCCCTCACTACAGACACAATCACTATTTTCACTTCCAAACTGAAGCATGCAGAGCCAGCCATTATTTAACCACTGCTCACCCTAATAATTCACCTACGCATGCCATCCCCAGCCTCCTGTACTGACATGCAACCTTTTCCAGAGCAGAAGAAGAAAAAAAAAAAACACAACAAATGTCAAACAGATTCAGGCCAAGCAAGTGCTGTTCCCTTCCTGCTTTGAAGGTGTGCTCATTTAACACACTGCTGTGTACACTCCACAAGGAAGGTACAAGTCCATTGACCAAGCTACACAGTTGAAAGTGCTCACACTTTTTTGCTTAGAATACAGAATCACTCAGGTTGGGAAAGATCTTAAAGATCATTGAGTCCAACTGCAACCTGACCATACTACCACAGCTCTAACAACCCTCCATCATGTCCCTGAGCACCACATCCAAACAGTTTTTAAACACATCCAGGGATGGTGATTCAATTTCCAGCCTATTCCAGTGCTTAACAACCCTTTCTGTAAAGAAGTGTTTTCTGATATCCAACCTAAACTTACCCTGGCACAACCTAAGGCTGTTTCCCCTCGTCCTGACACCAGTGAGACGAGACCAACCCCGCTCTTGCTGTAAGCGCCTTTCAGGTGTTTGAAGTGAAAAATAAGGTCTCCCCTCAGCCTTCTTTTCCCCAGATTAAATGCCCCAGTTCCCTCAGCCACTCCTTGTAGGGAATATTTTCCAAGCCCTTCACAAGCCTTGATGCCCTTCTTTGGACCTGCTACAGCACCTCAGTGTCCTTTCTGTATTGAGGTGCCCCAAACTGAAAACAGTACTCGAGGTGAGTCCTCACCATGGCAAAGCAACCCGTTGGTTCTTCTATTTACTAAACAACAGCATTTACATGTCACTGGTATTTCTGTTTCAAACCACACACTAGCTGATGGAAACTGAAAAGCGAAGAGAGCACAGAGGCCCCCGAGGAGCCTAAATAAACCATTTCGCTGGAAGGTCTGGGTCTCCAGCTCCCCGCTCCTTTCAGTTTCCTATTAAGCGACTTCCACAACCAGGCAGCCCGATGACACGATGGGCCCCGCAGCCCTCCAGCCCCCAGCACGTCTCCCCTCCACCTGCGGAGCGCCGCCGATCCCGCAGCGCGGCCCTGCACCTGTCGCAGCCTCACGGCCTTTCGCGCAGCGCGAAGGACAGAGCGAGCGGCGGGCAGGGAGCTGGCACCGAGCCACGTCCTGGCGGCAAAAGATAAAACGCAGCGCCGTAGCGCTCCGTCGGGCGGCCCCGCTGCTGCAGGAGCGGCGGCTTTCCCCGCATACGAGCGCGGTGCCGAACCGCTCGCCCCCGCGCCGGCAGCCCCCTCTCACCTTCCCAGCGGCCGGCTCAGCGCATCTTCCTCCCTCCCGCCCTTCTTCCCCTCCCGGAGCCGCGGGCCCGTCGGCACCGCGCCCAACGCTGCGTATCCCTCAACCGGCGGCGGCGGCGGCGGCTCCCACGAACGCTTCACCCCCACATCGCGCCGACAGCTGCCGCTCCTAAATTCACGGCGCTCCGGCGGCATGAAGTCATCTTCCCCGCCCCCTCCCCGGGCCGCCGCATTCCGCTCCCGCCGCGGAGGGGGAGACCGCCCCCCCCCCCCGGTTCCGCCGCCCGCGCCCCGCGGTGCCTCCCGCTCCCTCCCACCCGAGGGCCGGCGCTCCCGCGGCGCTGCGAGCTCCGCGATGCCCGGCGGCACGCGGGAGGACGGCACGTCCCCCCACGCCGGCGACGGGCTGCGGTCGGGGGTCCCACCCCGGACCCGGCGCGCGATGGGCCGCTCCGCCCCGCTCCCGCCCGCCCCTCGCGGGAGTCCCTCGGCGCGCTGCGGGGCGCTCCCGCTCCGAGCGCGGCCCCCGCGCTCCTCCCCGCGGCTTGGCCGCTCCGTACCAGCGAAGCGCGAGGTCCCGGAGCCGAGGGCCGGCCTCCCGCGGGAGAGCGTTGCTGTACGCTCGCGCGTCCGTTCGGAAGGAAATCCCGCTGTAATTCGTGCCCGTGTGTGGGCGCCCGGCTCCCCCCGCTCCTCTCCGCCGCCTCGGGGCGCGCAGGCGCCGCGCGGCTGTGCCCCCAAATGCGGCTGTGTGGGACGGAGGGCTGCTGTGTCGGGGGCTCCCGCTCTCTGCCTGCGGGGGGAAGGCGGACAGCGCTTCAAGGTCACCGCGACGCGCGGGTTCCCTGGCAGGGGTGTCCCGATGTTTTAAAGAGCCGCCGGTGGGCAGCGAGGCTGTTTTTGTTATTTATGGTGCCCCGTGCGCGTGCTGGGTAACCGAGCCGTTGGTGAGGAAAGCCGGATTCCTGTCACAGCCCGCTGTCGCGTGCAGGATGAGCGCAGCTGTGTTGCTGCACAAATAACAGCGGGCAGCCCCGGGTCGGGCACGTGGCCGAGTCACCCCGGTCCCAGAACTCTTCGTGTTTCGTAAGCAAAGCCAACATTGTGATGGAACAATTCCTAGGAACGCGACGCTGTGAGCACAGGTGGCCCCAGGGCACTTAGTTCTGTGGAGCGGGTGGGAGCGGGAGGTTGGGACGAGTTGGGAACGCCGCAGGTTTCTTGCTGTTGGAGTCTGAAGCGGGAGCATAGCCCCTGAAGGAGTTGCTTCAGCGGCCTGGGGCTGCTGGGAAGGTCCTCTGTGATGGCAGAGGAAAGCAGGGAGAGGGAGAAGAGCCCCGCTAAGGTAAGGATGCTCATCTCTGCCTCTCAGGAGAAACAGAGGAACTAAGAGCCTGAGTTCCCCTTTGGAAATTCCTTGTGTCTATTTTTATCACGGTTATGGAAAGGCTTCAAAGCGTGCCATTATCTTTAATTTGATTCCCCGTGCCTGTGCAGTTGCACAGTTGCGCTAATTTGGAGCTGCTCCTGTTTACTCCCTGCCTTACTATTACATTGATTGCTGTGGCAGATCTAAGCGTGCTGAGCTGGCTGCATATCAACACCGATGCTTAATCTCTGTTTACAGTTTTGTTGGGATATGTGATTAAGCTCATCAGGCGTGCAGAGGAGCTGAGGGCCACGTGGGCAGGCAGGGCTCCCAGGGGGAACGCCCAGCCCCACAGATGAGCCAGAAGCTCTCTGGGTCACCTCACAAGGTGGTGGGTTTATTGCCTGGGGGAGGTAGGGTGTGATACGGGATCCATCATAGGAAGAGCATTTGGGGATTGTACAAGGTTTATTATGGGGTGTTTGGAACCAGAGAGCAGGACAGGATTACACTGTTTGTGCCATCTGTCTTTGCATGAGTGTTTGTGTCTCTGTTATCTACGAGACTGGCCACGTGTGTATTTATAGTCAGTTGTGTATACACACAAAGCATTTGTTTTTGCCAGTTTGGAGTACGTGCTCATGCTTGCTAGTGGCTGGACCTCAGAACATGGAGGCATGGCAGCATTGCTTCTGTTGGGCTGCTGGATTCAGCAACTAATTCCCTAAATGATTGATGTTCTAGGATCACTATTTCTGTGGTATCACTGCATCACAGAGTCAAGTTTCAGTGCTCTTGGCCCAAGGATGTTAATACTTTTCCACATTGTAACAAGAAAAGCAGAAGCATATAGGGCAAGCACCTACAGAATTTGAGTTACTGAAAAAGAATGTTGGTGTCCATCTATTAGGGATATTCAGAGAGCTTCTGCTAAGAGAGTATAACATTAGATGTACTAATGTTATTATAACATTAGATTTACTGATATGGACTCAAAAAAAGTGAAAACACAAATCCATAAATGATCAGAAACTAAGCATTTCAACTTTAAAAGAATAGTCTGCAGGAAAGTGAAGCGGAAACTAGTTTGTGAAATTAGTTGAGAAGCTCAGTGTGGGCAGAGATTGGATTTATTTATTTATTTATTATTTGGGGAGAACAATGATAAGGAGTAACTCCAGACAACTGCAAAGGGGATGACTTTAAACAAGATGTTAGTGGTAGGTTTTCAACCAACAAGTGAAGAGAAATTTGTGGCTTAAAGGCTAGGAATAGCAAGGAAAATGTGAGATTTGCCAGCATTCAAACTGAATTAGATTGTTAAAATAATTTCTGACATATATAGCGAAATGTTAGTTGGTTGTTTGGAAAAAAAAAAAAAAAAAGAAAGAAAGAAATCCTGAAATAAGTAATTTAGTTCTGTTTCACTGAGGATGGAGTGGAAAATCTAGGCTTTGCCCCTCAAATGGAACATTTTGCTTTCTTGATAATTGCAGCTGAAACAAAGGTTGGATGGAGCTAAGGGAATGAGTGTATAAAAATAAATGTTACTGTTTTCACTATGAAAATAAAATCAGAAGAGTGTGTTCAAGTCAGAGGAGTAAATCTCTCTAAATATATTAAAAAAGTAGGATATAAAGTCAGAAGATGTTTTTATAAATCAGTTATGGTACCTTACTCCTGGAGGATTTCAGATATTTAAGATATGAGAAGAAAAAACACCTAAGGTGTTTGGGATTAGCCTTGCCAGTTGTTGGCAGTGTTGAACACTGAAATTTGGGGATGTTTTCACTATGGAAGCCATTTTGACAAACTGCAGAATATAAGGAGTGGGGTAAAGTAGATAAAGTGTACTCATAAGAGACTAGGATTGTGAAGGATGGCAAAAAGTTGTCTGTTAAGGCAAAATGAAATTTTAAAGAAAAGTTGGTGGTAACATTTCAAAAAGAGTATTCTTGTGTTTTATTAGTATTTTCAGCAGTGGTCTTGGGCAAGTAAGTGCAAATGAATTAAAAGAAACATTATCAATGTGGAGGAAGTAATCACTTACAAAGTATGTTATCAAATAGTGATATATATCCACAGTATTTTTCAAACCATTTGAGAGGGAATGATTGTTTATGTAAATTCTGCTTGGATTACTTTAATTCAATCAAAATCATACAAATTAAAAAGAAAACAAGTCATGCTGCTGCAGACATTAATTTCTAACCTTCAGCAGAAGGCAATTTAAAGTAAAACATTCTGGCTCTAAACAGAATAACCAAACTTGGATTGCAGACTGCCTCCACCACTGTTTCTCAGTATTCTCCTATTCATGCTGGCTGCATCCCTTCTTAAATTAGGATAGTCAAATTTTCAAGGCAGAGACCATAAGTGTTTCAGTTTGTACAACATTGTTAGGTACTTGCAAAATGCACTGATGATTATTTGTGCTGCTTGTGCTTCTAATGTGATGGCTTGACTATGCACAAGACCCAGTTCTTCCTTAAGTTACACGTTGTCTCAGCTGAAAGTAATGGAAGTTGTGTCTGCAGAGTGGTAGAGCCTGGTCCTTAATCTCTTGAGGTCAGTAGGAACAGAAGTGTTCTCCTGTTTTCTTCTCTTGGGGCTTCAAGCATTTGAAGACCCAAAGGAGTCTGATTTTAATACTTTGATAGCAATGCCGCTTTGATTTTTCTCATTTGCCACCATCAATTTCATTGTTTGATTATACATTTTCTAATCTTCATAGGAAAAATAGTCTCATATTAGCATTTCCTTGCTTAAATATACATTACTAACACTGTAATATTAAAGTGGGAAAAATTTCCAAACGGAAAAAACTGCTTGTAATGATACAATGCTGTTGTAACATATATGCTATACGAGGAGAAATTAAAGAACAAACATTCTCAATTCTGGATTTACTGTTGCGTTTTCCCAGTGCTTGTCTGATTAAGCTTAACTTTTTTCACATATTCACATGGAGCATGTGGAATCTGTTCTTTCTAGAGAAGAAAAATAGACTGTCATGTGACAATTTGGATACCAGCATAGGTTTTCAGCACATTTATTTATTTATGTGAATGAGTATGTGAGATGTAGTGCTTATTCAACAACTATATGTTGACAGTGGAAGAGCAAAAATTGGAGATCTCAACGTATATTTTTCATGTCTTCTTCAAATTCAGTCTTTTCATCCTCCTCAACCTTCCAACCAAAAGTTCCGCCTTCAGGTTTCTCATTCCAGTCCTCACAGATGTTAGTCAGCAGCAGTCTTCATCTCAATCTCCTAGCCTAGTAATCAGTGCTTTCTTTTTGCAGTGTTGTTTTTCAGATTCTCCCACTCATTGCCAGACCCTCTGGTAAGTTATATCCAATTTTATCTTTATTCAGATTCTTTCTTTTCATCCTACTACTTCCAATTTTTTTTCTCTTGAATACCATTTTGCCTTCCTTCCCCTTCATCTCTTTCATAATGTAACTTGTTCTTCATTCAAAATAGCCCCTCTGCAGATCATGGGATTTCAAACTTGCAAACAATTTATGGCAGAACAAAGATATTAGAGGCTCTGTAGTTAAGTCTTTGCTGCTTCTTCATGTCTTTCCAGCTACCAGGTAATATCTTGGCTCATCGCCATACCTCTTGATCCCTTTCTGAAAAGCTTGAGCCAATGTGCTCATCTTCTAAACAAAAGCTTTCTCTAGCTCATGTTTCCCCTGCATATGAATTCTGCATCTTCCTTTTCCATGCAGGCTGGATCCAGATAAAGTTAACAGTCAGAAAAAAATTGGTGAAATCTTCAGGTTTCCAGAACTATTGCCTGAGTAGGTAGCTAATGGTAAGTTTTACTGACCTTACTCTGGGGCATGCTTTGTGAAAGTGGAATCTTAGGAGTGAATTTTGCAAAAACTCTCTGGTTCCTCCCAGAGCACATGCAGTTTTCAGACTGTTAAGGATTTGAATAGATGTCAGTCAAATCAGATGTGCTAAGTTCCTCATCCAAAGTATGTAGACTAATGAACGGTCATTAGATTTCTTTTTAGTCTAGTAGGATTTATCATGCTAATTTTTTTGGGAAAAAAAAAAGCCTTCTATTAGTGACATAACGATATATTCTGAAGCTAGTACAATGCTGAAATATGTATATCAAATGAATAAAAAAAGTGAAATAACAGTGAAGAGAATCTAATCGAAAGTAGCAAGTACCCTATAAAATATAGGCTCTTATCTCTAAATGTCTGCAGTGGCCACAATTTCATTTACAGGCTTAATTTTTCCATGTTCCTTCCTTAGAAGGGCAGGGCCAAGAAGAGAAGAAGAGCAGGAG